AAGGTTTGAGTTAAGGGAGGGTGAATGACTTTGTTTCTGCCAGTAATTTTTTTTTTAAATAAGAAAACAGAACCTTAAGCACATGCTTGAGAAAATAGCAGTTGTTTACCTCATTCAGGCTATGCCTTTCTAGTTTCACTGCTACCTGTCAGCCAGGGTTAAAATCTCATCATCTTTAACTCATTCCTTTCTCTCACTCTGTTTATCTGGACAGGGCTCAGGTTTTGCTGACACTCTTCCATCCTGTCTGCCAAGGTGGAGATAAATGAGAACACAGTAGAATTCAGCAGCCTTAACAGAGAACCCAGCTGAAACGGTTCTGACTCCCCTCCCCTGTCCTCCCTCCTCCCGAGCTCAGGTCTGTCTGGGGCTGCTGCAGCACCTTTGTGACTCCTTCTCCCTTTTTCCTTCATTTTGTGCCCCAATGCCCACCTGTCTAACTTGCCTTCAGAGGACTCATACAGGTTGAATATCCCTTATCTAAAATGATTGGGACCTGAAGTGTTTCTGATTTTGGATTCTTTCAGGTTTGGAATATTTGCATTATATTTACCAGTTGAACATTTCAAATTGGAAAATCTGAAATCTAAAATGTTCCAGTGAGGATTTCCTTTGTGCATCATGTTGGTGTTCAGGGTTCAGATTTTGGAACATTTCAGATTTTGGATTTTCGGGTTTGGGATGCTCACCCCGTATCACATTTCTCTTTTTCTCAGAAGCTTCCAATTGGACCATAGTGCCCAACATTCCATATCACAAAGTTTTCAAGGCTTTCTTCCCCATGGCATCACTGCCTGCAGTCCAGCCTCATTTGTGTTGTTTCTCAGGAGGAACACGTTACACTTCCTAAGCCTGTGTCCTCCGTCCTGCGAACACAGTGATGGTGTTTCACTCATGTTGTCTTGTCATCTCTGTGCTCGGGGCCGACTGCTTTTATGGGGGTTTTCTGCTCGAGTATTCTGGCTCCACCTAGGAAAGCCTGTGGTGCATGCCCCACGTTCTAGCAGTTCATTATGTATTGTTCATATATATTAGCTTCGTAATTCAAGCCATAAGCTCCTTTCTTTATCCTGCATGGCACTTAACAGAGAATCCAGCTGGAGTAGATGTGTGACAGTTGTTTCTGAGATGTGCTTGGTACATCTCAACAGAAAATTACTAGTAGTTGGACTACTTTACTGATAAAGCCCTCTTCCTCCTGGCGGAGTAATGGGGGAGCGTGCACGTAGAGGATTACACAGACTATACAGCGCTTGAGACTTCATCTCTGCTTGTTGGTTCTTAAAAACCTTTCAAATGGGCCAACCCAGAATATTTAAAATCACTGCTAGATGTACACTTAGAAGGGACTGGTTTGGAGACTTTCAACTGTGTGGCAATATTTTTTTGTTTGTTTTGAGATGGAGTCTTGCACTGTTGCCTGGGCTGGGGTGCAATGGCACCATCTCAGTTCACTGCAACCTCCGCCTCCCAGGTTCATGCATTTCTCCTGTCTCAGCCTCCTGAGTAGCTGGGATTATAGGTGCCTACCACCACACCTAGCTAATTTTTTGTATTTTTAGTACAGACAGGGTTTCACTGTCTTGGCCAGACTTTGGTCTTGAACTCCTGGCCTCGTGATCCACCTGCATCGGCCTCCCAAAGTGCTGGTCATATCTTAGTTGTATAGGAGAGAGAGTTGTACAGCATTGATTTTCAATGCTGCACTGGGGGGGGGTCAGAAAGGTGGTCAGATGGGGTCAGAAAGAACAAGGTGGAGGAGGGCAGTAAAGCCAGGGGTCATCTAGATTCTACCGGTAAAGCAGTATGTTCCAAAAATACCTGTGCTCATCTGAGAAAGAGAAGAGAATGATCTTGCGAGGCTCCTTGAGCCCCAGTCAAGTGAGCAACCTGTTCTTGTGGCTTCTGTAATCAAAGGGATCTTATTTCTTCCTACATGGAAGGAAGTCTGCCTAGAGCTACTTCCGGGGAGAAACCATCAATCCCAAAGTCTGGTTTGAAACAATTATTTAAATTTTCGTTAATTTAGTACAAGATATTTTTCTGTTTAGCTGACTTATCACCCCATGTTTTCCCCATGGCCTCACCAATTCTGCCAAGCCTGCATTTAGGGAAGCCTGGGATGGTCCTGACAGGGTCCTTCATGCTCTTAACGTGGGTTTCCCTTCAGTCCCTCTGTGCCCTGTGCAACTGGAAGAGCAGGCTCGCCAGAGTTATGCCGCAGGTGATAGCAGGAGGAACAGCCCATTCTCTCCAACCTGTTGCAGATGTATGCCTTAAATAGCTTCTGTTTTTAGCGTCTTTTTTTTCTTTTAACTTTTCATTTTATAAAAACTTTATACAGACCCCAAAGTAAGGAGGGTAGTAGCATGAAACCATGTACCCAGCATCCAGCTTCAATAATGATCAACACGTGGTAATCCCCGTCCCCCTTCCTTCCATTATTCTGAAGCAAATGCTATATCATTCCACCCATAAATTTAAATAATCTTTAAATGTGAGTGAAGAAACAGTACTATGCCTGGGCTGTTTTTAGCTTTTATAATGTAGGCTTCTGTGTGGAAAAATCGTTTTCACTAGGAAAAACTTATTTGAATGATTGTATATGCAATATTGAATATCTTAAATTATTGATTTCCTTTCATTCTACAGACAGTATTGCCTCCTACATATGAGGGGAGCAAAGACCCAGGCAGCAGTGACCCAGGAGTCTGCACTCTGATTATTCATTGAACTCTGCAGTAAGCTTTCTGAACTTTGTGTATATTTCACAATAAACAAAATACATGATCCCTGCCCCTAAAGGGCTTAAAATTCAGTCCAACCTCCAGGTATTTGAGAACCAGAGAAGCCACATGCCATTGAGTACCTGTCCTTGAGAACGTTATAAGTGCATCATAAGTGTATACTAAGTGCAGTGGACAGTCAGTTTCTGACTTCCCAGAGAAAGGTGCATTTGAACAGACCCTAAGGGCCAAGCAGACTTAGGTTGATAGAGATGGAACAGATGATGGAAAACACAGAGAGGAACATCAGAAGGTGTGGGGTGAGTTTGGGGAAGAGGTGTCATCAAGAGAGAATTATGGAGAAGAATTGGGCCCTGGTTTTGGAGGGCCATGAACGCCTTGGCCTGTGGTTCCCAAATCATTTGCTAAGGTGCTCTGGGGTGCTGTAGTGAACTATCTGGGGCACTGCAGCTTGGGACAGGGTTTTGAAACAGTGATCATCGATATGTGTCAAACACCATGCTTGAGGGAGTTTATAGTTTCAACGTTAAGTTGTGCTGCCTTCCTTTCATTGATGTTCCATCATTGTAAAGCTGAGTTTTGGGCGATTGCTGTGATAAAATTCAAACAACACACGAAAATCACTGCGGAATGGTAACAAGACAGCAGCGTCCAATCTTCTTACAGGGTTTGGAAGCTGTGCAGCACCCAACAGGTATAACCCATCCCATTAGTAAGTAATCATGGTTAAGAACAAAATAAAATGTTTTCTTCCAATCTATATGTATTTTTCCCCCACATGGCTTCTAAGTTACTAGGCCCTAAGTACTTATGATTTGTTTGGTCCTGACTACTTAATAAATGGAACTATTAGGTATTTCTTCTGGCCTAAAATTGAAGAAATTACTGAGACACTAAGGGTGCTATGAGCCTAGAAAGTTTGAGAAACTCTGACTTGAGCCACAGAAATAAAAGGTATTCAGTTGGCAGAGGGGTGTCACTGTCAGATTTCACGTGGGGGAACAAATTTGCCTTCTCCAGGCTGTCTTAGGCAGTGGATGGAGTGTGTATCTGAGAGGCAGAGACTCCAAGACATGGAGCTGGTTAGGAGACTGTGGTGTAGACCAGTGAGAAGTGGTGACTCCCTAATTTTGGCAGTGATAAAGGAGGTGAAAAGGAGGACATAGATTTTAAGAAGTATTTAGTAGATTGAATCTTAGAAAACTCAGAATTTTCAATGAATTGAATGGGAGGGAGAATTAAGGAAAGGGCAGCAGCAAGGGCAGCCCTGAGTTTCTAGATTGTGTGGCTGGGTGGAAGTGACGCACCAGCCACTCTGGGGAATGTGAAATGAGGAGCGGGTCCTGGGGGTGTGGCCTTGGGCTGTGACACCCATAGCAGTTGCAAGTGGGACTAGGTCAGGTAGTACAAGGGAGAACATTGTCAGATGCCATGCGGAGGATTTGCAAGTGTTGGTTTTGGTCACGGGAATGTGGCAGTGGTTGTTCTGATCTTATTCTGAGGGTAGGGGCCAGAGGGCAGTGATAGAGGAAGATAAGAAGGCAGGAAGGTGGAGCAGTGTAGTTTCCCTTCATGGCTCAGTCACCCAGCTTGGTTAAAAAAGCAAATTCCCTGTCTCTACCTACAAAGCTAGCTTCTTGGGGGAAGAACCTAGGAATCAACATTCTAAAAATTCCATAGGAATCTCTCATGCATTGCTGGTGGAAATATAAAACAGTACCATCCGTTTTACAGACTGTTTGTCAGTTTCTTGTCGAATGTAAACAATATGATGCAGCCAATCCCCCTTAAGTGTTTTAAGAAATGAAAATAGGTCCAGGTGCGGTGGCTCATGCCTATAATCCCAGCACTTAGGGAAGCTAAGGCAGGTGAATCACAAGGTCTGGATTTCAAGACCAGCCTGACCAATGTGGTGAAACCCTGTCTCTACTAAAAATACAGAAATTAGCCAGGTGTGGTGGCACGCACCTATGGTCCCAGCTACTTGGGAGGCTGAGGCAGGAGAATCACTTGAACCCAGAAGGCAGAGGTTGCAGTGAGCTGAGATCATGCCACTGTACTTCAGCCTGGGCAACAGAGCAAGAATCTGTCTCAAAAAAAAAAAAAAAGAAAATAGGTCCAAATAAAGACTTGTACACAAATGTTCATAGCAGCTTTATTCACACTGGCCAAAAAAATAGAAGCAACTCAAATGTCCATTAGCAGGTAACTGGTAAACACACTATAGTAAATTATTAAATTATTACAATGGAATACTGTACAGTGATTTAAAAAAAAAAGAAAAGAAAAAGAGCAAACTATGATATACAGAACAATGTGGACGGATTTCCAAGGCATCATGTGAAAGAAAGAGGCCAGGCACAAAAGAGTACCTACAGTGTGGTCATTTGTGAAATTTTAGAACAAACAAAATGAACTGGTGCTTATCTGGAGCAGAATTTGCAAATATTGAATCCAAAGGGATATGAAAAAATGTTTTAGTATGATAGAAATATTCTGTATCTTGATGGTGAAGATAGTTACATGGGTGTGTGTTTTTCTAGATTCATTGAACTATAAACTTGAAATGGATGCATTTTGGAGGAAAAGGAGAGTCTTTACAGAAGAGCAGGCAGAGCCAAGAGCTTTTTATGTTTATAGGCAAATGAGGAGTTGAAGATCCTTGGAGATAGGATCTAGATGTGAGCGTGAAAAATCTTGAGTATGAAGGCGAAAGCATTGTCCCTTTATAGAGATGTGAAGGGAAGGGTGGAGCTGGGTAAATGTAGAAGGTGAAGGGTAGGAAGTTTCAGAGAGCTCACTCAATCTCCCTTAATTTCCCCTGTGCCGCAGAAGACAGAGTCATTTGTGGAGAGAAAGGGAGCTTGAGGCAGTGGGTGGTTTGAAATGCCAGCTACAGGGGTGAGAACAGAAGTCAGCCAGGAAGTAGATAAATGAATCTCCTAGTGGCAGGGGCCTAGCTGGCCACACCATGGGATACCATGTATGATGGCATCTCCACAAATGATCGCAGTGTGTTCCATAGCACTGCTCAGAAGCCTGGGTGGAGGAACAGGGAGTGCTATGGAGATCCTGGATTCAGGGTGAGTAGAGTGTACCTGCTGGATTATTAGAAGCAATCAACAATGGATTTCCAGGCTGGGCAAGAGTGGAAGTAGGAAGGAAACTGCTGTAGTTTGAATATTTGACCCTCCAAACCTCATGTTGAAATTTGATTCCCAGTGATGGAGGTGAGGCCTAATGGGAGGTGTTTGGGTCCTGGGGGTGAATACCTCATGAATGGCTTGACACTTTCCTTGCTGTAGTGAGTGAGTCCTCACCCTGTTAGTTCCTATGAGAGCTGGTTGTTAAAAAGAGCCTGGCACCTTTTCCCCTCTCTCTTGCTACTTGTCTTGCCCTGTGATCTCTGTACATGCCGGCTCCCCTTTGCTTTCTGCCACTAGTGGAAGCAACTAGAAGCCCTCATCAGGGGCAGATGCTGGTGTCATGCTTCTTGTACAGCCTTCAGAACCATGAGCCAAATAAACCACTTTTCTTTATAAATTACCCAGCCTCAGGTATTCCTTTACAGGAACACAAACAGATTAAGACAGGAGATGACACTTAATTGCTGCATTCAACAATATATTGGTTACCACCTGTGTGTCAGGAATTGTTTTAGATCCCTGGGAAGATACAGACAACAAAAAAATAAATCCCAACCCTCAGTGGCCAGAGTCAGGCATTAAGTAAGCAATAAAATATACAGAACTATAGAGGCCGTAAGTGACATGGAGAAAAATTAAGCAGGGAAGAGGGGTCAGAAATCCTGGGCAGTAGGGGGTGATCATGGAAGACCTCTCCGAGATGGCAACAGTTGATCAAAGACCTAGGCAGAGGAATAGCCAGTGCAAAGGTCCTGAGGCAGGGGCAGGCTTAGCAGTGCTTGTTGAATACTTGGAGGCTGGCATGGCTGGAATGGAGTATGTGGGAAATAGTGGGAGATTGTTAGAGGGTGGCAGGTTGAAAGGGAGGGACTGCTTGGGATTTATGAGCCACCGTGTAAACACTGGCCTTCACTGAGTGAGATGGGGAACCACCAAAGGATTCTGAGTGACAGAGAAGCTTAATCTGATTTATGCCTTTCAAAGGATCACACTTCTCAATGTCAAGGCACTGACTTAAAGTCTCTACAAACATTTAATCCACATAGAGATGCCTCATGAGGCTGATGTTACCTCTATTTTTTTTTCCTTACTGATGAGGAAATTGAGGCTCTTCAAGCTTAAGTAACTTTGCCAAGGTTACTCAGCTGGTGATTGTAGAGCTAGGATTTACGCCTTGGTTTATCTGATTCCAAAGGCCGCACAGATTAGGAGAGGAGGGAAGGCTTGAGAGACAAAGGGTTCCAATGGTGTTGAAGGGAAATGGGAACAGGACACACAACTACGATTGGCATCAAAATAGATTGGCTGGGTGTGGTGGCTCACGCCTGTAATCCCAACACTTTGGGAGGCTGAGGCAGGTGGATCACAAGGTCAGGAGTTCAAGACCAGCCTGGCCAAGACGGTGAAACCCCATCTCTACTAAAAATATAAAAATTAGCTGGGTGCGGTGGCAGTCACCTCTGATCCCAGCTACTCGGGAGGCTGAGGCAGGAGAATTACTTGAACCCGGGTGGCAGAGGTTGCAGTGAGCTGAGATGGTGCCATTGTACTCTAGCCTGGGCAACAGAGTGAGACTGTGTCTCAAAAAAAAAAAAAAAAAAGAAAAAGAAAAGAAATAGACCACAGAGTTTGGCAACCGATGGCATATGTTAGGGAGAAATAGACGTCAACAGTGTTGTTTGAGTCATGGCTGTCTTCTAGAATGGTGCTACCATCAACAAAATAGGCTAGTCAGAAGTAGAAGCTAGTCTGGGGCAAAAGACAGAGGGCATGACTTGGGCAAGCAGAGACTGAGGCACTGGTGGGAAGTAGTGGACGTGTCCAGTTGATCCAGAGAGAGGATGCAGGAGAGGGGAGCCTAGAACCCCACTGTGGTCAGGGTGGAAGTTACAGAGATCCATGTGCTCTCTGAGTGAGAAGAAAGGCTGAAGGGAGAACCTGGCAACGTTCTTCCCTGTGTGGAGGAAGGAGTGGGGACAATAATTTACTGCTTTGGGGGACAGAAATCTTTAAAACTTTACGCTTATGAACTTGAACAAAGGAAAGATGTGGATGTCTGTTTTTTCATTTGTCTGAGCTTGAAGAGGAGATTTATATTTGCACAATATCCTAGCAATGAGCATCTTTGGACCTCATCCAGGATGTCAGTTTCTGCAGGTGTAAAGCTTGTGCCATTCCAGGGCTCAGCTGGACACACGATGGGGGCCAGGGAGTGCAGTGGAGGCCAGAGGCTGCTCCCAGGGGATCAGTGAGCAGGTTTGTTTCTTCCCTGTGTTAATCCCTGGAGATCAAACCTTGATTTCAGCTATATTTTCTCATGTCTCTACCTTTACCAAATAACCTTACCTTTACCTTACGTAACAGCCACTTTTTATACTTAGGAGGTAACTCCCCCCTAACTTTTTTTTTTTTTTTCCTGAAAGTAAAACAACTGGTGAGATTGGCTTTTATTCTTATCAGGCCCCATATAGAGAGTGGCTTATTTTACAGCAGTATTTGTTTACATCCCTACAGGTAGGACAGTGTTTCTTTTCACGTGGCTGAAAACTTTTTTTTTTAAACAAGAATCTTGCCTGATAACAGTTCTCATTATTAAATCAAAACTACTTTTTCATGTTGCTCTTTCATTGCACATTTTCAGATAACACTTTTTGTTTTTATTTTTGCTGACTTTCCAAAGATTTTTCTCTTTAGCCTTTTTTAATATGAAAAAATTTAAGCATAAATACAGAATAGTAAAATGACTCCCTGGTGTTCTCATTTCTCATCTTTAACTGTTATCAACAGCCTGCCACTTTTTGTTTTATCTCTCCCCCATCCAACCATATAATTATTTTCTGTAGTATTTTAAAGCAAATCTTGAATTCAGATGATTCCTAAAAACATTTACAGAATTAAGTCATTGTTACATTTCAGAAGCCAAGCAGCAGATTGCTTGCCTCTGTCAGAACTGTCTTAATAATTGTGTTTTTACCTGGCCCACATCTTTGAAGAGGCTTATTCCAGGTGCTTATTTTACTGAGTGGATGGGAAATGCTAAAACAACCATAAGGTCCTCTTACTGGAGTTTACCTTCTCCTAAGCCTAGAAAAAAATCACAGTCCTTAAACACTGATATAGTTGTCCCAGGAATCTTCCCTTGTCTCCTACCGATGTGCTGAATCTTCATTGGAACCTTCCTGGTACAGGGCACATCTTGGGATGTGAGGCCTCAGTGTCAGGTGACCAGTGGATAAGTTATGGAAAACCAGGAACATCTGCATCTGAAGATGAGTCTGTGAAACTGAGCAAACACTGTACAACAAAGATCAGGTTATGAACAAGAATTTAAATCATGTTGGTCTTCATGTCTTGTTTCTGGTGAATTGCTGTAATTTGGCTGTGTCTTCTTAGTCTGCATTTGTCTGTGATTCCTTTAAGTGGCTGAAACAAACAAAAAAGATGCCATTTTACTGCCATGTTTTCTTAGGAATATGGTATTCTTGCTCTTCTTGGCTTGCATGGCTTCAGGCCTGCATTAAAGTAGCTGGGTTATAATTGCACCTTGACCACTTTGTTTCAGTAGGATGAGTGTGGTGTGCCTTTATTTCCTGTCTCTTGCATCAGTCTGTTTGTGAGAGTGTACCGAGAGGTGATTAATGGGAAAGATAAACATATGCTTACTGACTGAAAGTTCTTCCTGTTTCCTAAAGTGTTTTTGGTTTAGTGAATTGTTTGTTTGCTGCCCACAGACCACATATGGTATGTGTACCTCTGTTGTTGTGAATACCATATGCCTTTGTGTAGGAGCTGGGCTTTAAAGCAAAGTCAACATATGATAAGGCTTGAAAGACTTTCCTTCATCCAATAATTGGATGGATTGGGCAGCTGCCCATCACCATAAGCAGAGCCTACAGAGTCTGGAATTCTGCATACAAAATCATATGAGAATACTTGCTGTTCTTGCCCCCAGAGCTTAAGTTGTATATGGCAAGGCTGTGGGGTTTTTGCTAGAAATACCTCATCGCTGTGAGTCTCCTGCCTGCGGACTTTTAGATCTGTCACTACACAGTGCTGCTGTGCCAGTGTTCATGCCCTCTCCCTGCCACCACCATCTGCCCCTGGAATCAGGATCTTTCTCTTGCTTTGTGCCCAGGAGAATCTAGGGAGGGAGGAATTCCGCCATTAATTGCTGCAAATATAAAATTGACTTTGAGGGAAAAAAAACATGTACTCAATTTAAAAAGTAATGCCTGCTCTTGCAGAAATTTTAAGATATAGAATTGGGGGGAGAGTTGCATTTCCAGCAAGGATAAGTTACAATTAGCGTTTCTGATCTTTCCACCTAGTTAGGTGCATTGAAGCCTTTCCCCATAGTTGCATTAATACTCTTTGTACAATG